ATCGCCGATGACTCGGTCACCGTAATGTGACCGGCCGTCGTGGTTTATCGCGGGGGGGGGCGGGGGGTCGGGCTTCCTGCCTACGCCCCCCTCAGCGGCTGCGAGCGCACATGTTCAAGGGAAGCACGGGTGAAAGGCACTGATGGAATGCCATTAATCCTCATAAGCATGTTCCCAACGCAGGTGACTCTTCAAGAACTGAGAGTGGGAAGATCAGAGCAGGATTTCCGAAGCGGGGCCCTCTCGCATTCTCATTGGATCCTCCCCAGCAGCCTAAGTCATTCTGGCTGCTCTGTCTATCAGGATGACTCCAGCCTTGCTCACTAGTTCTCTCTTTATCGCCTTGTCTTCAACACGTCCTTTTACTTCTCTCTGCAGATTTATCCGTATCCTACCTCCTGTTCTCTGGGGTCACACAGCTTCTGTCTTTCCCCATTGTGCTGGGACGTGCAGTCTGTAAATTTTCACTTTGCTTAAGGATCACCACAGATAAGTCCCCTTACCCCTCCCACCCTCCAAATAAAAAAAAGCACTTCTTGTACATTTGGCTTTCTTTTCTTGGGGGTTCCTGGCTCTCCGTGTAACTGGTTTTTACTTGGTTACATGCCACCAGGAACTGCTGATTATTTCAAAGTCCCACCACCTTGCACTACTTTACCTTGGTTTGGAAGATCATGGAATATCTGTTTGAATCCTGGATGTATTTTTCTCACAGTCATCTTGCTTCCTGAAATTTCCTCTGGTAAGTTATTCTCTTTATATGTTTTTAGAAACTTATGACTAGTGTTATTTTTAATAAGCATTGTTTTTGTTAAGTATCTCGTTTTTTACATTTTTCTTACCTTCAGAACTCAAGGGTCTATATGACGGTATTTATTAATTAGTATGTTAGTTGCCATTGCACTACTAAGACATACCCCATGTAATGAATTACCCCCAAACCTTTTACATTCTTTATTTCTTTTCATTTCTGGCCTCATTTATATTGCAAGGTACACGGACCTTAACCACCCCCCCCCATTAACCCTTCTTGGCACACGTATGTGTGCCATGTGAAAGGTCAAATTTTATATGTTTACCTAAGAGAGAGAAAGCTAAAAAGAGACCTTCTGACAATTGCAGGGTGTGGGAAAGTTCACTGGTCTAATCTTTAGAAGGGTGTTCAGGTCAGTATTTGTTAGTTGTAAGCAATTACTTGACTGAGGGAGGACTTTATTGCAAAGTGCATTTTTATGAATTCAGCAGGACCCTAAGCAATAAAATGCTATTGAGTGGCAGGAAGAGGAGTGTTAGTTTTGAGGACACCATTCTTTTTTCTTATAACATTTTAAATCACACACGATCACATTATTTTGGGAATTGTATATCAGCTCAAGCATCGTATTTGGGAGTACATTTCTGATCTCGTGAATTAGCTGGTGAACGGTTAACTGAACAGGATTATGAATTTCAGAGAAAAAGAGCCATCTGAAGAAATAACTTATTATCTTGGTTCTAACAAAATGAAATTCAAGGACAGACCTTAGGTGAAAAATTTAATTGACTCACTCTTCACACTTGCCCACCCCCCATCCTCAGTTTTTAATAGGTGTGTTAATATGGTCAGTGCCTTTTGCTTTTATGAACATATCTATGGGCTTAACTGACAGGATTATCACCACCCCTTTCAGTGTAGTTGTGTTGAGAAACATTTAAATCTTTGCCTTCACTGCTTCACATATCGACTCATATTGACAAGTGTACGATATTCATTGAATGCCAAATCTGCATGTGTCAGTAATCTCAAATACATACTGAGGAATCTCTGTGCGCCTCCAAACACCCCCCCCCCCCAACATTGAGGACAAGTTCCTGGCTTCTGCAACATTTCCTTTTATTAAGATAGACTGGAGGTGAGAACCTATTGTCAAGCTTTTCTTGCCTTCTATTTCCTTCCTTCCTTCCTTTCTTCCTTTTTCTTTTTTCTTAAATTTCTGGGAAAGAACTATTCCTTGTCGTCACTGATGGCTGACGCGACAACCCAAGCAATGCTTTTTTAAATTCAAAAGCCCTTTGAGCTTCCAGACATAAAAGTACTCCAGCTGCAGCGTCACCCCCTCCCCCCGTCTCAGGATTCAAGGGCTTTTCCCCCTTGGCTCTCGCCGAGAGAGAACTGGGCTGAGACTGTGGTCCGCGCCCCTGGGCGCCCCTCCTCCGCGAGTTTCTACCTGGTCCCTTTCCCAGTCCGGTCGTCCTGCCTGACCAGCCAGTGCCATCCGCGTCCGTGACTTCATCTGAAGGAACGAGGGCTTAATATAATTCAATTCGAACATCCTCTTTGGAGGACTGCTGCTGTTGCGCAGGGGAGGAGGGAGGAGAAAAACAACCAACTTTCAGTGCAGTCAGATCTTCTTAACCTAGTCTGCTCCGGCGAGGCACAGAGAGTCGTTATTTAGGTAAGTGCGTTTTGCTGCCTTCTGCCCTGGAGCTCACGCGTGTGGAAGGGAGATTGACAGCTGAGAGGCTCCCGCAGCCAAGAACGTTTGCACTAGAGGGCTAGCAACAGGCGACTCTGCCCAGAGGTTTCTCCACAGCTCGTGGAAACGCCTAGCCCACCTGGGCGCAGGGAACAAGGAGGCCAAGGTGCCTGGGTGACCAGCTGGCCCCCGGCTTGGAGCCGGGGTGGGAAGGACCCGCGTGGGTGGGCACCGTGGCCCCCACTCCGAGCCGCCAGCTCCGGCTCTGCACTCAGCCCCTGCGGCGAAAGTGTGCTTGGGGGTGGGAATTTGCAGCCTGGGAGAGTGGGGCGCGTCGGGGGGGGGGGTCCGTTCTTCCAGAAGGCTCCATTTCCAGCCTTCCTCAGGCCGAACTGGAGCAAGCCTCTTCTGTGTGAGGGAACAGACTCGCGGTCCCTGAAATCTCTGAACACCTCTGTGCGTTAATATTGTTTATTCTTTTTGCAAGAGCCATGTCTGAGATGGGTCAATGAC